AGTGTGGTAAAAACAGGATTAATATTTAATTTACAGTTTTAGGGATTTTTGTGAGGATGAAAGAACTTTTGCTGTAGTGGGCTCTTATCCTGTAATAGTACTGAGGTTTTTTAAAACTTCAAAAAGCAAACATCAATAAATAAATAAAAATGTCTCCTGGCTCAATAAGCTCCAGTGGGCCTGTCAGCATGTCCTCCATCACCAGTATCTCCAAGGGATGCTAATGCAACTAGACCTGCCACAAGCACAAAGAGAAGCCGCAGGATCTACAGTGTAAGTTTTTGATCATATGAGGTGTAATTTCCAGGGAGATCTAAAGCTGGCATTTGAAAGCAGACGTTGTGGGAAATGCTCCCAGAGCCAGGCGGGGACAGCTGCAGCCAAGGGGACTGCGCTGCTCTTGCTTGCCTTCAGGATGTCAGAGGTGTTGGGGTTAAATGGTTAACCTGGTTGTTAACTCCACGATGTGTGCCTGGTCCCTCCCCCAGAGCTTGTCAGAGAAATTACAAAACCTTAAGCAGCTTAACAGAAGGATATTGCACAAATGAATGTTCTCAGCCCTGTACAAATTGTGTGTTGCAAAGGCCGAGATTTACAGCTGTGGGACCTTCAGGGAGGGTACCCAACACGGTTTTGCAGGTACAGTCACCAAAGACACCACACCAGGTCACTATAGCAAAGTCGTTTCACTAGTGCAGCACCCAAACCAGACTGCTTTGGGGCTGCCCAGCACGGTCAGAATAACTTCGAATAAAAAGCATCAGCTACGCAAAATCAGGAGAGGTGTCTGGTGGAAGAGGTTTAGTTTAGTACAAGAGCATGGGATACTTTGGCTGTTACTTACAGTATCAGATTGCCACCTTGTTACCTGTGAAAACACTCTGTTGCAAAGACTTTTAGATACTGAGAATTACGTCTTTGTCACTGGTTTTAAAGATTTTTCTGTACATGATACTTGTGTCCTGCCTGGGTAGAGATATGCTTTGTGCTCCAACAGCCTGTTTTAAGACAAAGAAGGAACACAAAAAGCAAGGGAATATATTTGCTTTTTGTTCCTTAGCTGTGGTCATCCTTGTGTGCAGTGAGGCTATTTGCTACTTGGGCTGGTGCTGGAAAGGCTTTTTCGGACTTTACGGTGGGTGAAATTAGCAGAGGGTTGGTGTAAAGCCTTATTAACCATGGATTTTTAAGGTCTTTGCCTTGTTTACACTTTTATTGTTTCCTGATAAAACGGTGAAGTTTGCTAAGAGCATATATAGACAACATGGAGTAGTGAACCCAAACAAGCATAGCGTTCAGTAAGATATCGTTTCAAGCAGTGACTTGAAAAATGTGTGTTTTATTCTACCAGTTGAATTCGTCTCAGTGGGAGACTGTTCGTAACTGAGAACCAACTAACTTCAAACAGAAGAATCCTTATTCCCTCATCTTTCCTGCTTTCTTTCCACGCAAAGCTTATTTTATAGAAACTCATTCGTGTAATAGTTAAGAGTCATAATTTCTTAATGAAATTCCTTGCTTCTGACACACTCTGTAAAAAATAGCAACCCCTTAAGTAGACATCTGCTTGAAATTTTTGCAATGTTTAATATTTCCCAGAATAGGGCCATAAATTGCCTTCTGCTTGTTTTAACGTGCTAGCCGCTGTAAATTCTGCTTGCTTTGGTCAGCTATAGATTTTTCTGTAAGAGTTGCATGGAAAGATCAGAAGTGGGGCTGGGAATGGAGAAGAAGTGGGGCTGGGAAATTGGTGTGAGTATATTTCTCAAATTATAAAATACAGAAGAGAAGTTTTCTGAAGGGTCTGGCCCCCAGTAACTGTGAGCTATAAAGAAGCAAAGAGATAGAAATTGCCATCCAGGACAAATAAAACAGCAGATACAGGCAGAAGCTGTGGGAAGGAAAGTAAGAGCAAGCTGCTGACTACAGAACAGCGTTATTGAAGGCTTGCAACCTGGGAGCTTACAGTTCTGCATACGTTTGCCTGAGATTGCCACAGTGGGAGGTGGTGCAAAGCCTAAAAAGGCTGAAAGCCAAGCCTGAGAAGGAGAGGTTGGAAATAGCTGTGTTCCTCTGGGATTGGATTAGCCCAGAATAGGTGAACTGAATCAGGGGACCAGGCCCTCCAGTAGCTGAACTGCTGAAAGCCTGGAAGGGAAACCTGAGGCGGAATAGCTGTAGTGTCACATCACATGGCAATATACTGCAGTCTGCATCCTGTTAAGTTGAACTACTTTTTATCCCTTGGAGAAAGGACTCATTAGCCCTTTTAATTATTTTCCTAACCGCTAGAACTCCAGATGCCATTATGTTATGTAAAATGACAAATGTATTTTTAACTCGTAAAGCGTGTGAACTTTAAGCTCTTTCCAGTGATACAAATACAGCTCCATTTCAATGCATGACTCATCTTCACATGTAGGAAAAACTCAGCATTTCACATCCCTATAACGACACTCTGTGCACCAGCGATGAGCGACAGTTGCTGTGGGAACCATCACTTTTAATATCCACACTGTGCCTATGAAAGTGCAGAGAATTCGGACTGCCTGTTTGGCAGAAGAGGTCGCCTTTCGTAACAGCTCCCACTGTTTCGGTAGCCATGTCGCCGGAAGGACCGTAGTCTGCCCAGCACCGAGGCTCAGTGCTTTGCTCCACAGCAGTGGCCTCGCTGTTTACAACAGGGTTTAGAGTGCACTTGCCAATCCTTGCCCCCTCCTCAGCGGAGCGATCGGGGGCAAGGGCCGGCGGGGCTGGGGGCCGCCCCCCCCGCCC